CCCCAAAACCCCAAAACCCCAAAACCCCAGGGTCAAAAATAGTAGTAAAATTATACAATTTGTTATCGTAATAATGTATAGTATAGTAATTAAAATAAAACTTTAGAAGAAAGATGTGTTGCTGTAATAAAATAAAGCGAAAAATATGCTAGATTGCTCTTGCTATAGCTAGTGGATTAGTATTGGTAAGTTGAAATGTTTAGAGATAGCAAAAATATGATTAGAGCAATGAATATAAACAATTTTATTGAGGTTTAAAAAACAATCTCTGAATAAAAACACTTTTAAGTTTGCTCTAACATAAGTTATCGAAACACTATTTTTCATGATCCTTAACATTTTTATTTTAGCTGATGGGCATTGTTATTGTTGTGCTTGCTGCAAAAGTGAGATAGGCAGATATATTTGAAAGTTCAGATGATGATATAAAGAAAACAGGTAGAAATGCATTTTATTTAATGATGATCTTTGCTTGCTTTGGGCTTGGACTTGGAGCCTTAGGATTTGTAACAGCCAAATGGCCTAAATGGTAACTTGTGGGCTGTGTAAGCATTTGCCTTTATTTATATTTGTTGATTATAGTACTCTTTCTGGTCATTTTCAATCTTTGGCATCTATTTAGCTGCTGCAATTATCCTATTCGGAGTTTAGAGTAAGCAAGCAATAAATAACTTACTTCTATTTTAGCCTATATGGATACGCTATTGAAGGATTACTGCAAGGATTCTAAAATTGATAGCTTATTGGGAACAAGCTCTATTTCTAAATCTCTAAGAGATGTAGATAGAGTTTCAGTAGCATATTCAAGCAAGTACATGTGCACTAGAGTTTGCCCATGCAGCACTAATATATCTCTTCCATATTGGTTTGAAACTCCTCAGAGATTAGCTGACTATAACAGAACTGCTCAAACTGAGGTTCACAATGCTTCTATAAAATATAATTCTACTTATAAGGTAAGTTAGAAATATAAAATAATTCTATTTTTACGATTATGAGCAAAATATGACAAATTTAATATTAGGGTTTCACCCTTACAAGCAACACTACTGATGCATATACCTTCTTTTTCGAATGCTACGATGATATCATTACTGATTAAAATGGAAATGTCTCATAGATAGCTGAAAAGTTAGATGATATAGGAGATAGTGTAGTCAACTTCCTTTAAGACATGGAAATGGATTTTGCTTGTAACGGTATCTGTAAACCAGGTCTATTCTGGATGTTTAGAGATGTAAATACTATCCCACCTACTTCCAACTGCTAAGAGGGAATAAAGGATTCATTCTAAGAGTATTCAACTAGTATCGCTGCAGCTTTAATGATAAGCTTCTTCGTTACAGCACTAGCCTTCGGAATAAACTACGGTCTCTGGAGAAGAAAGAGCAAGTGAGAAATATTTTTGAGTTAAAAATAGAAGAAAATCATTTAAATAACATAAAATAATCATGTATTCTAAATTCACAATACTTAGATTTGCTTATTTTAAATTCTTTTTTATAGCATTACATTCGGGGGTTTTGGGGTTTTGGGGTTTTGGGG